GAGTCACAAGCTTTCTACCGTTGGATATTCTTAGAGGCTTTACCGGCAATGCTTGGTGTAGAAAACCTGAAACGAGTGCACCTCATGTTGACCGACGGCGATGCAAGTGAGTACAATGCTGTCGATCGGACCATCTTTCGTTATGTGAAGAATGCAATTCGCGGTAGATGCGGACATCATCTCATAGAAAAAACATTCCTGAAACACGGCCCGAAAGATAGCGAGGTAAAGAATCCATCTAATGGACAGGCAATTCTACTGGAGGTGAGGCGGTGGGTTAGACCCTGGATTGATGGAACTTCATGTCGGAACAAGAAGGAGTTCGAATTGTCCAAGGCTTTACTGCTACAAGAGCTCCAAACAAACCAAGTTCTCAGGCGCTTTGTTGGGGACAAAGCTGCAGAAAAATGTGTTGGATGGATCCTAAATCACATTCTTACACTTGATGACCAACAGTTTGCCTGCCATTGTAAGCAGAAGGTTCGATGCTTACACGAATACACTACTAATGCCACAGAGGGCATGAACTACGCAGCAAAGCACAGTGCTATGGCAGCACAGCCCCAAAATAATATGAAGACTTCGGCTTCCAACATATCAGCGCATATGGATATTCAAAATTGTGACAGGGAGTATACCCAAATGCGCCTGTCAAACTCTACACCACTGTATATTTCCGCAGAGTGTACGGTGCACAACACAGAATGTATTCAAAATTTGGTGCCAATTGCCACTTCTGTTATCATTGAACAAATGGATGAAGCTCTTGACAAATACACCATTGTACAACTGTCAACAAAAGCGTTCTTTCTTATTCGTGCAGGACCCCCCTCAACGTTAGTCCGCTGTCCACCAGGCATGAAGGGACGACCAAAGTTTCGCACAGCTCATAAGTTGGATGTTAAAGCATGCACCAACGACACGTCCAGGGTAGTGCTGACTTGTTCTTGTGGGTTTGGACATCAGTATGGTATCCCCTGTAGACACTTGATAGCGTTGGAGCACCATTATGACATCAACGATTTTGCATGTCGCTGGCGCTCAGATTATGCTTACTACGCTTTTAAACAAGGTTATGAGGAAATCACTCACAACTTTGGTGAACTCCAGAAGAAAGAACATTTTGGAATAGTGGTGATGACGCAATCCTTGTTGAAAAGTATTACGAGTCCGGACCAAACTACTATGTATCCACGGATATTTGCAAAAGCTAGTTGTTGCAAATCAACCATTGAAGACTTGTTGGATATATATCTCAGCCCCATCCCACATTGTTGGAATTACATGCTGAATGAGTATCCTGATACTGGAACCTTTAGCGAATCTCCAAGTCAAACAAACGCATACCATACTGTTGAAACGTGTTCACCCTCAGACTACGGAAACAGCAATTTTGTACAGGATGAAGAGAGCGACAATGAAGAGGGCGACAGAACTACTACACTAGCCTTCAACATGAACCAGTTGTGTTCCCAACAACCAAAGGAGCAATGTCAAAAAAAAGAGCATATAATTTCCAAAAATTCAAGGACATTGACCGAAATTGCATGAGTCAGGATGATGTCAATTTTGTTACGTCAAAACTGGAGGCAATTGATCGAGAGCTCTTTGAAAGGAAAGCCTTGGCCATGAAGAAGAGCCAGAAACGTGCATTCGTTGGGGCAACCAGACGGGACATGGTATCTTTTGCACTGAATACAAAAACCTGCAAGAAGAGTACCCAGGATACATACCATCCAAAGAGAATCAAGAGAAAGGGACAAAGATAATGAACTAGTACATATAATTTCTTTACTACTTTGGAGTGTTCTTGGTAAGGCTAAAGACACGTGCACGCCAGATGCCTGCAAAACCTGCAGATCCTGCGATGAAACTAAGGGACTCTTCCGATAGCCTCAGGGACATCCCGAAAAAATCTGTAGATTTCATTTTTTTCCGACCAAAGCACCCCCTGCCGCAGGAAGATATGTGTTTCACTTGGCGGTCCGCTCGTCGACGGGAACAGGCCTAAAGGTTTCACTTGGCGGTCCGTTCGTCGATGGAACAGGCCTAAAAAAGACCTTAAATAGAAAAATGCAATTTGTTTATTATTTTTTTCTCTTTCTAAATATCAAAAATATCTTGTTCTGAAAAGCGGTCCCGCGGTTTTGACTGAAAGGTTTTATTCAATCGTCTAAGTATATTTTGATCGCGAGCCAAAGTTGTTGTCAATAAACAGGGCGGTTGCACTTGCAGAGGTCCCATCAATCACACGGTTGCGCTTGAAGAGGTCCCACCCCCTGTACATGGTTGCGCTTGCAGTAGTTATAGACCTCAAACAGAGAGTTTCGAGTTTTAATGATCATTTAAAGAAATTCAGAATTTACATCTCCATTACTTTATGAATACGACAAATTGATGTAGCATGTTAATTGAAAATTATCTGTAGATGATCGTGAAGATTCAAAGTTCTCTGTAGATGATCGTGAAATTTGTTAAGTAATACTTATCGGTTCAATTCCACGATTATCTACAGAGACTTTTGAGTTTTCACGATCATCTACAGAGAACTTTGAATCTTCACGATCATCTACAGACTTTTGTTATATAGACGGTGGTGGCGCGTTAAATGATAAATCCCTGTAGATGATCGTGAAGACAGAAAGTTCTCTGTAGATGGTCGTGAGAATTCAAAAGTCTCTGTAGATGATCGTGGAACTTGTTAAGTAATACTTATCGCTTCGATTCCACGATTATCTACAGAGACTTTTGAATTTTCACGACCATCTACAGAGAACTTTTTGTCTTCACGATCATCTACAGAGAACTTCTTGTTCTACGCGACTATTGTTAAGTAGAATTCGATGGCGCGTTAATTGAAATAGGCCTCAAATACCTGTAGATGGTCGTGAAAATTCAGAAAAAACCTGTAGATAATCGTGAAGATCGAAGATTCTCTGTAGATGGTCGTGGTTTTGTTAAGTAACATTTATTGGTTCACAATCACGATTGTCTACAGAGAATTTTCGATTTTCACGACTATCTACAGGTTTTTCCTGAGTTTACACGACCATCTACAGACATTTGAGGCCTTTTGCAATTTCTCGCACTGGCGGAAGGACAATGGCTCGCTTTTCTCCTTCTGGAAGGAGTGCCATTTTTGACCAAAAAAATCATTTACAGATTTTTTCGGCATGTCCCAGGGGGTATTGTTGCGTGGCATCACATATCAATCCATGACAGAATGTTACAGCATGAGTCTTGGTCCCATCCCTCGCCTGTGGTACAAAAATAACAAGTTTTGTTCTTCTAGGAGTGTGATGCATCGGGCAAATCCGTTAAGCCCGTCAAATTTCCAAGACGCTTTAACTGACAAACACTTGACAGCTCCAACAGAACAGTGGACCCAGTGGGACAACATTTTGAATTGAGAAGTGGCATCGTAGTCAGTAAGATTGTGGGAGAAGGCATACAGGGCATGAGCCTCGGCATGGTACTTGAGATGGTGCAATGCGTTTGCCAGTGAAAACCCAAGGCAACAATCACTGGCACCTTGGACAAACGGTAAGGCTTTGACACCATTACCGTTTTTGTCAATCTTGAAAAGACAGATGTCAGACGCAATGTCAGAGTTGCTGTCTCCAAGTGGTACATGGAAAGAGGGTTGATTTAGACCGTTTGTAGCACACTTTTCTCCAAATGAGATGCATTTATGAACAAATCCACGACCAAGGTAATACTTGAGGTATTCAACTCGGACATTGGGGATGCGTATTCCTTTTTTTGGGCCACAAGTGATTGTGAAGGTCGCTTTGTTTCCTTTCTCAGCGGTAGGTGGCTCGTATCGTATCATTGAAATTTTGTCATGGTCCTGGAACTTGTTGAGAACTGGGGGGCTGATCTTGTACTTTTTGATGAACCTGTTTGCTTCAATATCATTCCTGTAACAGCGGTTGAGTTCTTTTTGGTATTGGGCAGTAGCCTTTTTCATTCTGGAGGCTACACGCCTTGCATTCTCGTCTTGGCGGGCGGCTTGCAAAAGATTTTCTGACTGCAAACGTAAGTACTAAAGACCTCGGTATGATGTGTAGGTTTGTCACTTGCAAAAACAGCTTTCAGATCGGTCCTCTTCATCCGCTGCTCCCTCAACTGCACTTGTTCCGCAGATAGTCCAATGTTTGGCTTTCTGTTTCTTGTTACACCTGATGGATCCCAATAGTCATTCAAGTCTTCGTCACCAAGGCCAGCTTTCCTCCGAGCCCTCTTTGTTGCCATCTCTGTTTCTAGTGCACCAACTCCTTCATCGCCAGGACCAACTTTCTTTTTTGCCTTCCCTTCCCTTTTTTTTTCCATTGCATCTATTCTGGCACCGATCCCTTGTCTTTTCAAGAAGCCAATTTGAGCACCAAGTATTTCAAGATACTTGTCCCTACACCCGCTTTTCTCTCCTTTACCCAAAACATGCCTGATTTCCGATTGACTATTCCACACAAGATAGTTGACCTCGTCACTAGAAATACCTTCATCGAAATCCACATTCTTAAGTGTATTGGAGCCTTGGACCCTGGCATGAAGTCTGCCTACACTCCAATTTTTTTGGTATAGATTTTGTCACCTTGAGCCATTTCAACTGGTAAGTCAAGAATGGTAAAGGAGATGTTGGGTCCGTGTTTGAAAGTAGTGTGGCAGTCTCTAGCTTCAGTAATGTTGAGAGCAGCTTCCTCGTTGTTGCTTTCATAGTCTTTGTCACCAGGAATGGCGGTCCTGTGAGACGACGCAAAAGACCACTCGGAAATCTCGTCAGAGAATTCTTCCAGACTATCATCAGATAATGACAGGCTCCAATTCTCTGATGGTTGGGAGGTAGTCGCTTCTGGTGGGGTGGTCACCTTTTCTTCGTTGTCATAATGTTCTAATTGCGGTGCAGGCGGGCCGTTGTCCTCTGGTGATGATTGCCTGATATCTTCTCCGTCATCACCATTATCTTCTTGTTGTGGTACAACTTGATCATTGTCTTTGAGTGGTGGTGGAATGCTTTTTTCTGTTGGAAGGGATGCAATCACCTTTTGTTCATCATGAACATGATCTTCTGATGCCAAGGGAGCTTCAGAATTGGATGGGCCAGACACCATTGCTTCTTCAACGTTTTTCCTGGATGGAGCAGAATTCCGTTTCTGTTCAGCCCTGGTGCTCGAGGCTGGAGCTTCTGAATTAGATGGGGCAGTTGACGTTTTTTCTTCAACGCGGGTCATGGATGGAGCAGGCTTCTGTTTGCTGGAAGGACTGTTCAATTGAGTGATTGCGGACTTAGCAGTAGATGTTGCAGCAACAGAACGAGTGACAACTTTTGAAGCAATCTTTTGGGTTGTGGCATTTTGTATGCAACTAATATCAGCCTTCTTCTTCCTTCCAACCTTGCCAGCAGTGCGCTTCCTACCTGTAGACGATCCTGGCATCATAATACTTCACCGCACCAAGTCTCCAACCTACTAGAGGCGAGGACAAGACACAACACAAAAAAACTTTCGTAGCTACACACTGCCTGTCACTCCGCGCAATGGAAGATGAGAAACAGATGTGTAAAAAGCTGGAATGTGCGGAAGTTGATGGAGGAAACGGTCTCTGAGGACTTTGGTAACGTTGCTACGGGCTAGTGAAGGAAAGAGGAGATGGTTCAATTGTGCAACTATGCTGATGTTTTTTTATGTCTTGTCGCTGAAATGTTTCTTAAAGGAGAGCAAGCCCGGTCTATCACCAATGACGTTGGCTTTTTTGTTCTGTAGCTGGATGGTTGGCAGGCGCATGGCCGGCCGGCAACATTTGGGTCGCTCTTACCGGGTCAATATTTTTTAATGCGTGCAAAGCCGATTTTGATCGTGTCAATGGTGCTACATCACCGGTTTTGACCATGTAAAACTGTCAAAGGTGTAACGAATGCAACACCAATACAAACGAACTAACTAAGGAATCACTTCTATAGGCAAAATGGCCGCCGCAATTCCTGTTTTTACGATCTATGATGCCATGATTTTATGTCAAATCCCTGACATTGGGAATTTCCAAGGGCGAACTGACGCCCAACGTATGGCAGAGGAGCTTTTTGACAACGATTTCAGCACTGCAATAACCAAATCAATCATGCATAATAATAATAAATCTGATGCATTAATCATGTTAAAACTATCTCAAGTTTCTAGATTGCCGTTAACTGTCATGCCCATTTACCGTACGGAGGTGAGTCCAGTACTGTTGAACCAGTTTGAGGCATCCAATCCCAAGGAAGTTGCTCTATCGAATAGATGTATGTACCCTACCCATGGGTATATTATTCAAACGATCTTGCCACTCGAGGCGGCGTATTTTTATGTTGTTTTCTGTGTTTTTTGTGTATGTTGTGCTGCCTGTATTGAAGCTTGATTGGGCCTTGTGTTCTTGATCCCTTCTGCCATGAGTATATCGATCCAAATGAATGGAGAGCGTCTCATGAGCACAGTGTTCCAGAACATTGTGGTTGTTACAAGCATCAAAAGGCGGCTGGTTGTAGTCTAAGGAGAAGCAAAGAGGGTCAGAGCCAGTAGGTTGTGTCCTGGCATGGTGAAGCCGCAGATAAGTGGTGAATTGCCTGGATATAGGAGGGAAGAATGCCAACATTTGAACATCCATAAAGTGAAATCAAATCGAGGCATCTGCCAATCGACAGGAGGGTGAAGGAACCGATAGCAATTGCTTTGCAATAGGTCCTTGCCAAGGGTTGGATTGTTGCAAGGAGTCGGCAAAGGAGAGGGCATCCAATTGGTAGAACATATTATGATCGTCAAAAGGGCCACATGCTCCCAAGGTCCGGCCGTCTCAGCAAGCCTTGATACCTTACAAGGCGTTGCGGGGCTTCCATGCTTCCAAAGAGGGGCCTCATGTCTGTCAGCGATTCCATTCTTGCCACCAAAGGTAAAAAAGGAGAAGGCTGCTGAGAATGGGCAAGATTGGACCATTTTCGCTTGTTCTTGTGGGACAGGATAACTACTGATATAATAGGAATCCCAGTTTGCTTTCTGACTGTGCGGCTTCTTGTTATCCTCATCATCATCAGCGATTTTGTCGCTGTCATCGTCGTCCAACAGACCCAAAGAGGCACAAGCATCAAATGGGCAGATTTTGTCCACTTTTCCCTGTCCTTTTTGGACAAGGCTTACAGGAGCATGATAGAAATCGTTTTTGGATACCCTTTGTGACCTGGGGCCCTTGCCTGTCTTTCTTTTGCTCATCATGGTCCTTTGTTTTCCAGTTGAAAACAACCTCTTTTTCGGCGTCGCTACGGCCGCTCCGTGTAGGAGAAGTACTCGAGGTGCTGTTTTGGAACCCAGATTTGCGTGTGGTTTTTAATCGTCACATTGAGTAGCGAGGTACCAGAGATTCGGGACAAAAACGAGTACGATGGCAAACATGGGGATTTTACAAGATGTGTGCAAATCTCTAGGTTAAACTATCTAAACGTACAAATGACGGACACTCTCTGGTCCAATTAACGGTCCCCTCAAGGTGATACTGATGTATCAGAGAACCTTGTACTCCGAATTGGGCTAATATCAACCGTACCCCCTCTTGGGAGGACGTATCATCCAATACTGTCCAAGACTGACAATATCCGGTGACGGATGAAGACGTTTCCAAAAATTTAAATCAGAAGAGAAAGTCTTCCATTTCGCTTTGCTTTCCACATGATACTTTCCATAAGACGGTCACGAACGGTTCCAGCTTGAATCTTGGTTAAAACATCGGCCAAGTTCTCAGCAGAAATGATCCATTCAATTCGTAGAATATCAATTGCACATCTGGAGCGAACGTAGTGATATGCAACAGCATTCGATTTCTTTTTCAATTGAGATTCAGGAACACTTGAGTTCTTGACAACGGACATATTGTCAACACAAGTATGACAATAACCTTGGATTGGGACGCCCATCATTCTGAGCTTGAATCGTAGTCCCTCAAGTAATTCAACACCTGTCTTTAGAGCAGAAAACTCAGAACCAAAACTGCTTGTCTTGACACTGTTCTGCTTTTTCGAATACCAGATAATAGGAGCTTTGTTAACAAAGATCAATACTCCTGTTCTTGATTGACGAGTAACAACGTTAGCAGCATGAGATGCATCAACAAACATAGTGAACTCTACCGCTTTGCCAAGAGGTGTAGGCATGTCACTTGGGAGTTCATCCTTAGTGAACTCATAGAACTGTGAGTAATCAGCTTTCTTTAATGCTCTAAGATGGTCAGCATAACCACAATCCATCACAAGTACACGATCAGGATGCTTCTGTAAATAGGCAAAAAATATGTAAGGCAGCATGAAAGTGACCTTCACGAGGCATTGCATTGTAAGACAAAAGCATAGACACTTTGGCAGCAACATCGATACCACCAAGTTCCACAAGCCAGCGCAGAATACCGATGAGTTGCATGTATAAAATAGCAGTATCATCATCGACAAAAGGAGTAGAATCAAGTTCCGGCTTGTATCCAGTGGGTAAAGTTGAGTAAACCTTTTTCTTCAAAGTCAATTGCATTGGCGCAATTCGTTTCTTGACAACTCTTAACGACACTTGTAGGTACTCTTCAGATCCAATAGCCCAGGTGAAGTAATCATCACCATCCAACTTGTGCTTTGAGATTGTTGCACCAAGATATGTGGTTGGCTCTTTTATCAAGTCAGGCTTTAAAACAAAGAAATTGTTGAGTTTATCCATAATCGTTTTTGGATTCTCCGAGATTGCAATGACATCATCAGTATAAACCAAAATATACTCATAATATTTCGAACCATCTTTGCGTTGACAAGGACGACGCCAAACATCCATATGAGACATTGGGGAAAACCGAACTGACGAAATAGTTGTGTGAGGCTTGTGTGAACATCTGATTCTTTGTTCAACGGATAAGCACGAGCCCACTGTACTGGTGTAGCATAGACCGCGACGCAAGTGTTTCCTTCAGCTGACTTGCAGGGTCCAAACTTAACATCAACATAGACATTCGTCTTTAATCGCGGATACTCCAACTGATATTGTACAGGGCGAAAACGACAAGACCCTTGAACGACTGACCAATCACGAACGGCACGTTGAGTTGTCTTCTCCAGGGTGCGACGAGCACATTCAATACTGGTTCTCCATCGACGAGCAAGTTGATCCGGCTTGATGAGGTAGGATTTTCCGGAAGTTTTCATCGATCGAATCGTCAAACTGTGTACACCACATACGACATTGTTGCTGTCCCCTAAAACTTGCGGTAAACGATCAAGGCAAGCAGCAGTTGGGAGCGTTGAATCAAGTCGAGTGAAAGATGCGAGTTGGTGATACGGTGCTTGATAGTCAGCATCAATCTGTTGTCGCAGAGCTTCTTCTTGGCGCCGAGAGTCAGGGTCATCAGGCTGCCAAGGAATGTCTGCAGTCATCCAAATAGGTTGAAACTCCATGATATCGTTGATCTCTTCATCTGTAGGTTGGCGACATGTAAAGTAGGAAATTGGTTTGTCGAATAGTAATGAGATCCTTAGACCTGATGTCAAAATAGCATGAGCTTCTCTGTTTTGTTGTTCAGGCCGCAATCGAATTAACGGCAAGTCATTTACCACTACGTTGTTGGCACGCAGTTGGCCGGCACAGAGTAGATGCGATCCTAGACCAGGGATCAGTAGCACTTCACAGAAATGCAGACAGTAGGTTCAATGATCAAATGGACAGTCAAAGGCAAGACAGACATTCCCAATTTGAACATAGTTTATTTTCAAACCATTGTGAAAACCGGTGACATTTATTGACTGAGAGGACGTTGAAAGGACGCAACATCCAGCAGGGTCAAAAGCACATGTATCGCGGCGTGCGAGTCCAGTTCACATCGGTTGTTTGTAGATGATAGTACTGATACCATGCGAGAATTTGGGCGAATGCTTGTGAGGGATCCAACAGATGAGGTTCCTAGTCAATTGTCGTCACGATTGTTGCGACGGCAACGACTCATTCCTGCACCTCCCCCACGCCCATCATTGTTATCTTCTTTTGTTTCTTCTTGATCAGCTCGTCCATCATGGACAGCGCTGATACCACGACCACGGCCACGACCACCACGGCCTTCACGGCCTCTTCCGCCACGACCACCACCATTGCGACAGTTGCGACGCATTGCTAAACAGATATCTCGTTCTTCTTGCGTAAACTCCTCTCTCCAGATTTGATTTGAATAACCTCCATCATTTAGTAGTATACCATTGCGGCTAAAGCGATCTGGAACATTTGATTGCAGGCGGTTTGTGGCACCATTTCCTCGGCCACAACCTCCATTTCTCCCATCACCACCGCGTCCGCCACCACCACGGGTGAAAGCAGCAAGCTGTCGATTGCGGCGCTGGGTGTTGTCGTTACCTGCAGCTAAAACTTGTGTTGTTAAATAATCGATGGCACCTTGGAAATTGGATCGGAGAACGGCATCTCCTGTAATATGTGATCTTCCATTGGAAAGTGAAGAATCTCCAACAGTTTTCTCAAGAAGTACGTCAACCTTATTTGCATCAGAGCGTGGATCAACGTTCAACTCGAGGTCGTTGAAGGCTCCAATAAGGCGACTGATAAAAGTATTCCAAGTGAAGCCTCGAGCTTTACCGTTCCAGTGAAGTGTTGCGAGGACACGGACAGCAGCTTGGCGTTCATTGGTGAAATGTCCCCTTCCACGATATTGTGCAAATAGAGCGAAGTAAGCAGCTTGGCCATTCAAAGTTGGAGCAAATTGACGAACGTGATTGTAGGCATCAGTTTCATGTGTGACGGCATGGAGCATAACCCAAAATTTCTGGTTGTTGCGACGGAACACAGCACCAGTGTGGGCAGCACGTCGGACAAGTTCTTCTTCGATGGAGCGAGAGCCGTCGTCGGCTCGGAGGAATCCAGGGTCACCAGCAGCTGGAAGTTCAGAATTTTCACGGAAAATATAATCAAGTTGAATTCCACGATATCCATAGGCGGTACGAGCCCAACTTTCAATGTTTTCCATCATGATTCGACCATCGCGATTGTTGAACTTTGGGGGATGAGGAGGAAGCGGGTAGGAGTCCCCTTCCATGAGATCTGGGTTTTCATCATAGAATTGACCAATGAAAAGGAGATTTGGGATGGTTCCAAGGGCTGGAGTGTGGGTTCTTTGAACCAAAATGAGGAACTTCCCATATTTGGAGATACGATGAATGGTCATCGATTCGCGAGCGGTGACTCCGATGGTCGCATTTGCATTGTTGGGATCAGGGGCTCTTCACATAGATTTGATGTCTTCACGAACTTGAGAAGTGGTTCTGTTGGCGAAGGAGTCAACAGAGTCAAGACCTTCAACATCAGTCATGTGTTGCGTGAGGATTGGTCGAATAAGGAGATCGACTTCGCACCAGTTACGAAATTGAATAACAGCAGCCATTGTGATGCGATGATGTGTGGACAATTTTTGTTGTTTTTGATGTGTTGTTTGGTTTCAGGTCAAAAAAGTGTCGGACTTGAAGTCAGAAATCACTGGAGAGAATCGCCAGAAGGCAAACGTTGGTGATATCTGGTAACTTCAAATAATTTAGCCCTAAATGTCGAAGCATCTCATATTGAGAGCTGTATATAAACGTGGCACAGATGGTTGCACGCATGGCACGTCTGCCGTTTAGCGAACAATTTAGTTAATGCTGCGACGTGATTAGCCTTCGGTGTGCATCCGAATGCCAAAATTGTGGCATGAAAAAATCACAAGATCGATACGACGATGGTGATCCTAACCATGGCTGAATGAGGCAATTTCCTCAAACAGATATTATTCGAAAGCCTTCCCAGGCTCCTCTATCCATTGTGGATTGCTTGGGTCTGATAAACCGTTAAATTGAGTAGGGAGGTACAAGAGATTCGGGACGAAAACGAGTACGATGACAAACATGGGGATTTTACAAGATGTGTGCGAATCTCTAGGTTAAACTATCTAAACGTACAAATGACGGACACTCTCTGGTCCAATTAACGTAATTGTGGTTTTTTTCGGAATATCCAAATCAATCAAGCAGGACCCTCAGCAACTCGTCTGTCTGTTGTCCAGTTTCCACGGGGGGAAGTACCAGTGACCGTCTTCCTTGCTAATTGACATCAACATATTTTCCTGTACACACAAATTGTGGACTCCGCATTTACATTGAATGCAAGCATGGTTTGGATGGAGAGAATCATGTTTGCAGTTTCGGATGCTGCAAAAGCCATTCGAATGTGATACTGCAACTTTGGCCCAAACTCTTCTACCGACTAATTTGGAGGCAGTATTTTGGCCAGCGTGGAAAAATTCACGCTTCATGCATCATTTTTGGTTCGATAACTTTCCGCCTTAGAAGCGAACTTATAGAAGAAAAAAAACGTGCAGCCTGCACGCGGATTTGCAGCATGCAGAATCCACTTCCGGGTGCCCCTACAGGCTCCTGCATTTTGAAATTGAATGATTTTGATTGGCCAATTCTCAATAGCGTTTCGAAGACCTCGACTCACAATTTTATTAACATCAAAATAATACGAAAAAGACTCCATTGCACTTGATCTTCTGCTCTTTTCACTAGTGTATCATGATGAATGCCTTGTCAATTCTTCCATTAGACTCTGATAGCGAGGACGATGATAACCTTCATTACAACATTGGTTTGAA